GGTTGTCCGTAATCGAACGTCGGCGATATCAGAAGTGGACAGCAGACGACGAACGCATGACCCTCTAAGTACGGTGAAGTGTGCTCTCATGCTGCTACGGGTAGCCGTAAAGATCTGTCTGCCATGACCACTGAGACCGTCCGTTTATCAACGAGGCCGTGGTGACCAAGAACCTTATACCAAAGTCCTTATACCCTTTGAGAAGGTTCTATCTATGATGGAAATTTCATTCCTGCAAACTCAGGAGGGAGAACTTAACAAAGAGGCGTACATCGTGCGCAGAAGTTTTAAAAAATGTAATGAAACCAATCTTTATTCCATGTACAACACAATCAGGAGAGGGGACAGGACGCAGCCTTGGTGGAGACCAGAGCTAACATTGAAAAGCTTCGGCCTAACGTCATTTACTCTAACGCGCCACCTGCTATAAGAATACAGTGATCGGATGACCCTCAGAGACTGGCCATTGAACCCATACATTTGCAGTCCTACCCATCAACTTCTGGGTAAGACCCATTCTTAGGCTTTCACACACGTATAAACCGGATGTGCAACAACTCATGATTTCGCAACCATCTCTGGCGTAGGGCGAGTATCTGACTAGACAAGCTTCAGGCAAACCGGAAGCTACACTGTTCCTCTTGTATTTTGGAGTTAATTATTTCACTGAACCTTTCTTCTAGCACCATTGCGTAGACTTTATCTGGGAGGCTCAATACGGTAATGTCTCGACAATCGGAGCACTCACTGTCTTGAACAAGACTACGACAACTCCTGTCCTCCAGTCCGTTGGAGTCTTCCCCGTAGTCATTGCAGTAAACCAGCACATGCCATGTTCGCCTAATCTTTAAGCACTTCAGGACGGATTCCATCAATTCCAGCAGTCTTTCCACTTGTCCAGCTTTTAACAGCTTGTGTGATTTCATAAGTAGAAAGATTCGTATCCGTTTCCTGCTGCTTCTCAGACGACTCTTCTTGCAGTTACTCGGATTAAGCAGTTCTTCAAAGTTTTTTCAGGTGGATAAAAAAGTGTGCGAACCTGTGCTCTAGGTCCCGTTTCAGACCGCCATTATGTTTACCTCAGAAGCGACGGATGACGTGCCAAAATACATTATTAACCGTCTGAAAATCCCACTTCAACCTCCCACCATTGCTTTCACCGCCGCTATGCCCCCTTCTTCACAACGCATACGAATTGAAGGCTCTTTGCTAAAAAGCTATCTCTTGAATGGTGCCTTCTTGTCGGCGGCTGCCACTTGTACATCTCATGTCCACCAGGAAATTTATTTCTGACCTCTAGGCGGCTCCCAAAGAGCTTCAATTTGGTTTCCACATGAACGGTCGTCACTTGAATCTGCTCGGACCGTCGTTTGATGTTGTTTGCAAGTTTCGCCCTCGAATTCGTAGAAGATAATGTTTTCCATCTGAGTCTCTGCCATCATCTGCCGCCTGGTCTTCGCATGGTGTTCTATCATTTGCAGCGGTGGGTGCCAACATCAAGGTGATGATCGCTTGAAAGCTCTGCGATGCTCTCAACTTGAAAATCCATCACGGAGTGTCGTAAGTCAGATGATACGATTATCAAATCAATCATCGGCCTGTGCGCCCAAGCTTCCCTCCAACGGGTATGGAGTTGCACCCTCTGATACTCATGGATGGCGTTCGAAACAGACAGTTCATTGTTTCGGCAGAAATGAAACAACTTCACGCTGCTATTTTCGAACTCGTTTCAGCCGTTGTTTCCAATCACACATTTCTGCTCTTCTGTGTCCACTCCAACATGAACAAAGAAATCGCCCATTAGAATGATGAATTCCGCAGATTACGTATGGAGCTTGTTCCACCTCCTCCGGGAAAGACTCTCCTTCTACCTCTAAATAAACCCTTAGATATGTGAACGCTTGAACCTGTTGTAAATTCACTTGGAGGATTGTCAGCCATTCTTCCACTGATAATGAGCCTGTCAGACAGACTGCGTTCTGCCAAAGCACTAACGCCGGCATTAGCGTGTGTCGTGAATGGAACATTAGAACAGCTTCAACCCGCGGCGATTCAATATTTCAGAGATGACCAGAGTCCAGCTATGTCGAGTTAGTACCTTGCGGCGCGGCGTCATGAACATTCCCCGATCTTACTCCTTAAGTGAGAAGATGTTCCAGTTTCCGACTGTAAGCTCCTACTGTCGGAATCGTTCACGTGGAACCTTATCTGACGTGTTGTAACAGCGTCAAGCTGTTTGCCTCCTACGTTACTGATTGGTACCTTAGTCATCGTTTCGTCGATCTTCGGCAGGCGTTGTTGTGCTGCTACGCCCCCGGCTGCCGGATGGCGATGAGCAGGTTCTGATCGCCGACTTTTCTCAGCGTGCCTCAGCCCTCTAACAGCGTGCACGGCCCTGAACAACTCGGGCAACAACCAGGGACCTCACCACGGTTCCCCGTACTCGTTATTTCTCATCCGGACTTAGGACCGGCAACGCCGAAGCTTTCTTCCATATCGTTTTTATAATCCAGTGTGTTAATGGAGTGTTCTCATTTTTTATGCCATTCGTATTGCCCGTCTGGGCCGCTGATGTGCCCCTTTTCTGATCGCGTGGGCGTAATACGAAAGTTCCACTAACCTCGGTATTTACGTACGTTTCATTCCTCGTGATAAAAAATTGACCGCACTGCTTTAAATTGCATGATTATCTTGGATCTAATCTGAGGACGTTTATGTCCAAGGATAAGTGATAAAGGTCACATCTTTTATTTTTATCATCTACCATTTCTGCTGAAAAGAAGCTGCAAATAATGCCAATATCACTGGTTTGACAAACAAATAATGAAGTCAAAAAGACTTTGGACAAACTTCAACAGGGTTGATCACATTAGCGAGTGAATACGTGATCATCAATCAAATTCTTGCTCCTCATGACATTTTCGAACACAGCAGAGTTCCAGGATTAAACTAGAAACTCAACTTCAGTGGCATCTTCTGAGGTCAAGAAACCATTTACTCAACAGCAGTACTGTTTAATTTGCACAGTGAACACCCTGCGGTAAGGAGGTTCGTAGTTTGGGTACCCATTCTACATCCGCGTTACTGTGTGTCTCACAACTTCCAGCTGAGAATATCGTAAGCACACATGTCATGTGTCGCTTTCATGCTGCTCATGGTCTTTAAATCCTCAACCGTAGGTCGAAATCAGGTTTCTGTCATTTTCTCGTATCTATGTTTAGCCTCATGACAAAACTGAGGGCTGCTTTAGCTTCCACTGAAACGTTAGCGGAACAGGAATCACTGTCCGCCTGTTTACTACGTAGAACAACCGGATTTCAGGCTATACTGATATTGTTGACATAAGCATCGTCGCCTGGCATAAACAACCGCTAGCCACCGGCAGCGATTTCTACAGCGCAGAACAATGCTTCATCCGCAGAACGAATTACACCGGAGTGATACGAAGATCAGCCGCAAAAACCTGCGCATTTTTTCGTGCTCACTGTGAAGATGGAAAATTGGTTCGGAAGCCGAGTTTTCCCACGGTTCCATGACAAGCGATGTTCATACCATCCCATGCCATGTACTCTATGATGCTGGATTGACCTCACTGCGACACTATCCACCAGGGGTGCCGCTTTCTGAAGAAACATAAGCAGCCTCGGAGTCGCTGCAAAGTTCATCATCACCCTCCTGCTTCCTCATGCGAGGTCAGTGGCACAGTGGGTTCTAGTATTACCGAGATGTTACCCATAGTTTAATATCCTCATTTCAAATGTTAGTAAAAAACACAGTTATTGAAGCAACAAAAATGCCAATATATATCATAATCATCAGCCTTCGTCGATCCATTGCAGGATGAAGGCCTCTTCGAGGTTTTGCCAAGAAATTGGCATCTGCCATTTTCATCTACTCTCATCCAGCGAACTTCTTCAACTCATCTTGCCATCTCCATAGAGATCTTCCTAATAGCCATTTATTCTCTTTCTAAAGCCAGTCTAACGTTCCTCTGTTCCAGCGATGATCGGTTCTTCCTGCAACTCGTCCTGTCCTTTTCCATTGTAACTTCTTCGCTCGAGCAACGACGTCACAGACTCTTGTTTGTACTTCTACTCGTTCAGTCGTCTCCCTCTCACACTCAAAAAAACTTCAATAAATCATGCAACTGCCCGAACTTCCATGAACGTTGAGTCTCTTGTTTTTCGTTTGAACTCACTTGCGCTTCGTCTCAAACTATGTCAGATGAGCTCAGCGTTCGTTCAATGCATGGACAAAAACCGAAAGCGGAAAAGTTGACAAAATCACGGGGTCTTCCCTGTTAGACGATGACGCAGACCGAATACCGTAAGAGCGACCATCCGAAAGCTTAGAAACGACTTCGCGGTCCGAAGAGCAGCGAGTCATACGGCGTATGTCTGCCATACGAAAGAACAAGAATCGGAAACAGTTGTTAAACTAACCATAAAATTTAATTTACTGATTCGCTGCACTCATCACACTGATTCATGGTACCAGTTATTGGCTGCACTGTTGGCAAGAGAACAAGCTGGTTGTCCAAAGCCTTGTCATGTAAAACACTATTCCAGCTGCAATGTACAGGAAACTTTCATTAATATTTATATGAATCTCACAACGCTAAGCAATTACGAACTTTTGTATTCAAGTGTATTTGAATTTACCAATAATATCGTAGTTTAAAATGAGAAAACAAAAAAAGGAACTGGCATCAGATCTTCTCATTTTACAACACTTTGCTCTACATCACTGAAGATATGTATTATTTTCTGCTTTAGAAGCATTTGCTCAGGAAATTCACTGTCTAAGCATATTGACAGATCAGATCTCGATATATCGGATCGCGTCCCAGGCATAAGGTTGATTGTATTAACTATGCCATGCCCGTCATACTGAACGAATTCATGAATCGATTCACTGCCTAAAGCGAAGCAGTAGTTTGATCGAACTTGAAGGATCACTTTTTCCTCTTCATCCTCTTTTTCCGCCTCCTCTCCCTCTTCCATATCCTCTTTAATCCGTTCAAGATAACCTTGCTTCTGTCTTCCCTCTGAAAACCATTCAACTACTGCAGACGATAATGTGAATAGCAGAAAATCCACTACATTGCCCTGAAAGAGGCCGAAGAATCGATGAAGACCTATCATGTAAGACACTGACAAATGCGCTGTGTGTAATTAAACCGTGTTTCTGCTTTGTGCTGCGTCCAAAGAATACTATCACCGCATCAAAAAAATACTCGATTGTTCCTTAGAACTGCTACTTGTCCCCTCTTGATTTTCAGTATCACTGACGCCCCTTCTCGCTCATCATTATATCCTTTTAAGAACTCAAATTGGTCGTACAAACGACGCTGTCCTCAGTTCCGTGAAAAGAAACTCGGTCGTGCGCCCTGACTACAGAATATCTATCTCGACGATGTCCTCTATTTCATGGTCAAACCAATTGGTCAGTTTCTTAGCTGACGCTTACTTTAGCATATATAATGAACATTGTCCACAAATCCATCATTTGCGCCTTCGTCGCAAATTGCAAGACCCACTAAGGGATTCGCATGTCGGCAAATTAAAGCTGAGTGTATGTTCAGCTGTCCTGCTCCCGTTAGGTAGGCATTCAAGTCTGTCATTTACGGTTACAAATGATGTGACTTCATGAAAGTGTGAGGTGCATATTAAAAACATGATAAAGTGGTGGTTGGCTGATTTGAGTCTCCCCTTAGACACCC